ACTGAAGCGGACGCCAGAGTTGACCCGACCGAGGTCAACCGAAGAGAGCAATCCCACATCCCCACTTTCTCAGCTGGGGTGTGAGCGTGGGTCGAGAGGGTAGAATAATGGCAGTCTGGTGACTTCTGGCGATAATCGGGGCGAGACACCTGCACAACTAAGTAGGAGGGATGTGGCGACGACGGTGACTCACCATGAATAACCGAGCTCAGCCTTCTAACGTTGATGTTTGAAGTCATTTCAGGACACCAAGGCCCGGAGAGGGGGGGGGGGCGAATTGAGGCACACGTCGACCATACGGTAACCACTATGGGCATGGGTGAAACGATGCGCACAAGGCCGCAATGCACAGCCTAATGCATGGCGATGCATGATGGAGTTACCTGCACCGGAGAATAAGGAAATACAAAAAAACGGATGCTCCGGAATTTAAGCTGGTGGTAGCCAGTTTGTTCAGGTCCCAGTGGATTCAGGTGATTGCATTCACAGAGGTCGAAGGAAGCGAAATTGGAGAATGGAACCGGTCAACTGAGAAGCGAATTAGTCAGACTAGCTCAATTCGGAAAGGCCATCAACTCACATGGGCCAGATAATTTAAACTCAGGTGACCACTGTCGCCTTCGGGAGACATTAAGATTAGACGGAGTCGAGTGGGTGAGGCAATCGAAACAATATGAGAAGCCATCAGAGAATGAAAAGTGGGAAATAAGTGAAGCTGATTCGTTGGAAGATGGAAATTCGTGAGTAACTGATTCGGAAGAGCTACAAATCGCGGCTACCTTCAAAGCATTGCCAAAGTGTCGCGATGGATGATATAAACGGGACTTTTGACCCACGTGCATGGTCAAATATGAAACACCGGTTATGGAGAGCAATGCACGAAACAGTGGGAGTAAGTCACGCACCACAAAGCTGTGCAATAACGATGCGCGCGTACTACAGTCACCCTACGTTGCATCGAAAAGGCAAGCCCCTTCAATCCGCTTGACCGGAACGGTTTCGTTTAGGGACCGGTATGGTGTGATGAGGAGCAAGCAGTGAATCATGGTGAGTAAACCGGTGAGTTGATTCTGCTGGAACGACCATGATTCACAAAATCCAAAACCAACGAAGGAAATCGAATAGTTTAAGAAACAGTAGGGGATTCAGACTGTACAGATGGAATTCATCACAACGAGACTCGATGGGACGGCTATCACATGTCCGGAATCCGCCAAAGGCGAGCGTTCCATCTGCCCCCCTAGAACCCACGTTGCCACAGTTACAAATCCGTTGTTATGACCACAGGACCATGGAGAACGCAACGACTGACATTGATAAGCTACATGATTTGATACAGCGCGGTTCACTCAAAACAAGCTTATACGGTATTACCATGCAGACAACAGCGCAGCCTCTCAAGTAAGAGATTCCCTAACCCAACCGGCCCACCAATTTATGACATTACAAGCAGTTTGACTTGTGCATTGGTTATGATGATTGGTAAGCGGATTCCTTTAGAATTCACGACAGGGTAGTAATGTATAAGTCAGTAGAGATGTAGCAGTGATGTATCACAACTAGTAAATTAGGAATATCGATTGTTCTAGTCTCCTGTGGCTGTGGATTCTAGTCCAACGAGGGACAGATGGAATGTGTACTATCGGGGACATCCGGAAAGATGAGAAGGGCTGTGCAGTGCTGTTCCGGAGGTGCGATGGCTGCTTGAATAATTGTGATAAATCAGACATTTCCTAAGGGAAAGGAAGACTGGTGGTGTGTTGCAGATGAGACATTACAGTATTCGGTAAAACTGAGCTCAAGAGTTAACTAGACGTCGAACAGCATGTAAGTTCAAATTTTACTATTAGACTTATAGCCCAGCCTCCAAGTGACGCTGATTCGAAAAATGTGCTTCTCGCTAAAGCGTTCATATCTGCAAGTAGAGGGCGAGATTGCCCAAAAGGAGGATGTAATGCACATAAAACAGAGTCGGAATCGGGTTTGAAGTGCAGTCTAGGTTTGACGCTGAGATATCAGGTAGTGCTGCTTCCGTAGGAACCCAGACATGCCAATAATGATGAGAGGAGGTTAAAACACAAATAAGTTTCTAAGTGATGAAAGGAATCTTGGTTCACATTGCAATGAAATGAGCGTGATTCCAGATTGCCTAGGCAACGGAACGTAGTTACGACATTAGCATGCATTCTACCTAGATACATGTGCGAAAATTCAACGTTCGAACTTTAAAGGAGACACTCGCTTGGATGAAGTTTGCGTCCTAGCAATCAACCTCCTCACGCCTGGTCGGGAGAATGATGACAAGACAAACCTCACGTGTAGCAACCGCTGTCAGGTGAGTGAATATGAATGAATGCGAATGCATGACCGATGTCGTTTTTGTCTGTCTAGCAAGTTAGTTAGCTAGTTGTTGGGAAGCATCAGCAGTGGAATAAAATATGTGCCCCTAAACCCGTCCACTACCTTCACCTCGACTTACACACATACACACACGCACACACATGCACATGTGAGATGGAAATGTATCATGCTTCGAAGGAACGCGGACTTTCTGTTCGAACAGGTAAGATAAAGCAACGAAATAAAAGCAGAATGCGAGTGGAAAATTTGCATTAGAAAAGCGATTAAAACAGTTTGACAGCACGACAGCAGATGGATTGGTGTCTCGAAAGTACACGCCCAGGTTGCATGGGTTAAGCTTAATGTCGAGGGAATACGACAATCTTGAAGAGAGAGGAAGGATTCAGTCATTCGCCAGAAAAGGGTCGAACTGACCTGTGAACTACGGAACTGAGAGTGTATCCAAGGGGTACTTCAAGCACGGAGACGATGCATAAATCAAGCTCTTAGGAGAAGTGGAGGCAGAGAGAAGAGTGGTTTGATGCACTTTCGGTTAACCAATCACAGGAAGTAGTGTGTCGCCCAAGGTGGTGGGAGTGCAGAACAAGCGAGAACAGATCGAACAGAAAGTTGGGAACCAACACATTCAGGAGCCGCATGAAGATGTGCTGAAAGCAACTCAGGAGTCGGTGGACCCTCGCGAAATAGCCGCATGTGTAATGATTGTGGTAAAAGTGCCAAGACGGGAAACAAAAAATGACGAAGCAGCGTGGTTTGCGGAAATGGCACGAAATGAAGAGTAATGCCTCACTGACGAGCCCCGGGGATGTCTCCAGAAATATAGAGTGATCCGTCTTAGCTAGCGACCACAGAGTTAGCAGCTAAAGTAGCATGAAGAAAGCTACCTGGAGTCTGGAGGCCCAAACAGCTCTACACCACCCGCAAAGCATCAAAATGCTTGGACATATAATATCTACTATGCTATGCACAGAGTATACATAAGGATTTGTAAACCATAAAATGCACTCTTTCCTGCCACATGTACGAGTTACGTAGTTCACCCAAGTAAGAGTGCCAGAATTAATGGTTGCCATGCCTCAAATTGACAAGAGAGAAAACAAAAATGGAGAACAATGGAGAAGGGAGCTGTGAACATATGACACTTTACGGTTGACCGTTTCGAGTTTTTTCAAGAGCTCTCGCCTCCAGTCTTTGACGCAGCTTGATTGTGGGAAATAGGTTTTGACCTATTGCGGATTTCAGCAGGAAATCGATGGAGGCAGGACAACATGGATATGATTAGGACGTAAGTAACAACTACAGTTTTGAATCAAGTTGAACATGGACCATTGAGCGGTAGTGAGTGATGCTTTCCCACAGTCGGAAACAATCTGTAGCCCTCGTGCCCCCTACCAATATAAGTGGCAAAACCGTTAATTCATAAATCTGAGTCTTAGCAGAAAAGGCGATCGACTTAGTTATGCTCTAGCACATAGGGAGGGAATGTTGATAGTGAGTTTGTCTAGCTGTTAACCGCTGACGTGTCCTAGAGACATTATGATGTGTTAACCAGCGTGGATAATGGGGTTATACGAACTAGCGCAAGACGTTCACATCCAGCCTCATTGAGATGGCGATGGCGTTGATGCGCTAATTGTAACGCCGGTTTATAGTCCACGTCAGACTCAGAGGATATAGCTGTTGCTTTTAATTGATGTGACAATCGGAAACTATTCACAGTCCAACCTGAGCATAGACGCCAAGTGCTATGCAACTGACTGTCGATTCGCCCCGGTTATAGTAGAGAAATGCGACAAAAGATGGTCATGTCAGCCTGCGAACGTAAGTTAAGAGACAGTTTCACCTCCCCGCGTTATCCGAATTTCGCTAGGATGCCAGCCAATCGTCCATAGTAGGAAATAGTGAGGAATGGAACCACCCGTTACCCTGCTGAGACACAAAGGATAAACCACGCCTGGTAGTGCATGCAAAAGAATGAGATTGAATTTCAAGGTTGAAGCCAGTAAGGATATTAGGAATACTCCAGACGTGTGGTGGATTTAAGATATAGGAATGGGAGCACGGATAAGATTCCACAGACTTGCATGTCCCATTTGCATTGTCGGTAGAAGTTGACTTGAGATACTGGTGATTGTCGACGGCGTAAACCTCTCCACCGATGATGAAGGGTGGTACCTAGTTCTCTGAGTAGAACTTTCAGAAAAGCTTTGATTGCACTGAGTGCCAACGTGAATCAACACAGATGGGTCCCTTAAAGCACATCTTCGCTAACTTACCGCCACCTAATTGGACCGACACTCAGGTAAAGACAGCATAGTGAGATCTCCGAAAATAAGCAACATGGCTTTCTGAAAACATATAACCAGAAAAGACGTGCAAAACAGCTTAGAAAGCCCGCATTGGAGAAAGTCCGTATGATGACTGGACGCCGATGAATGAGAGGTCATATATCATGGTACGCTCTTTGTTCTGCCGGTTGTTTTCCGCGAAATTCTCGTCTCTAACTGGAGACTTGTGGAGGAAAAGTATCAGTAAGGAACACGGGTCTGCTACGGAACGTGGTGAGAAAGATTGAAGAACTGTGGCGAATAAGAGGCAAGCATGAGGCAGTGAAAAGAAAGCAACTGAGATCAGCTTACCTGGTTGTCCCGGTTGAACTCCGCTGCGGTCGCCTCTTCATCGACCGGAGGATCGAGCACTGTTTGGAGAGTGTATACTTGACTACGAGTGGTCAACTGGAGTAAATCAGACGCAACGTCCAGCATGACGCCGCGACTAGATCTCTGGAACGAAAAGAATGAGATAGGGTCATTACAGTCTTCAACTGATTAAGCAGGAATGAGCATAATACATATGTGGTAGTAGAAGGAAACCCGGAACAAAAAGCAACGATTGAATTTTAGACCAAATTCAAAAATAAGTAGGTAGACTCCCATTGGATAACTGCCTACAATAACGTACATCGACAAATGTCCATCAATTTGTTGTGTCCAGAAGCCATCGGTAATTCGATTCGTAAGGCGCCAGTATGTATGTGGGACCAGTGAACTAACAGTCTGTAAGAAACTTGCAAGCTGCGGCTAAATTGCTAAAGTGAACGAGGGTAAGATGATGAATGAGGGATCGTGAGTGTTCCAAAACACATACGCGAGACCGTGTTATAAGGTCGTTGAAAGTGACTAACAGTAATTGCAAATAGAGACTTTAGCAACATGCTTTGGGGCGCATACAGTACTCCACTGAATCAACTTGGGAAAATTTCGCGCGGATAGTTTCGAGCACATCGTTATAGAAGGTCCACACACTTCCTATGCCATACAAAGTACTTCATCGCTGGTGTTATTGCACAAGGGATAAGGTGAGCACCCACGGGTTTTTCAACAAATCTTCCTGAGTAGGATCGCGAAAGAGCCACAGGCAGCCAAACAGGATGGCTTAAGAAAGAGTAACCGTGAGATGTCCAGCCACGTCAGTGAGAACGCAGTGCTCTACCATCGACAGTTAACTACCTTCAAACTATCCACAATGGGCCAGCGAGTGTCCAAATATTCAATAACACGATAACAAGGAAGGCGATTGCGAGTGAATGATGTCAGGAACATTCGTCGTGATCCGATTAGCATGCTTGGTGGAGCGGGGGGGGGGGAACAGTGGTAGGCCTCGGTGTCCCAATCCCCATTACGACTTCACTTGCTCAATCGCGCATGTTAGTCGACCCCAGCAATTTTAAGCCAGGTCGCGCTTATAGGGCAGATAACGTCTCCGCTCTTTTGTTCCTCTTCCGTCCTCAACATGTGCGCTCGTGTGCATTCACGCAATGACCTCGGGCTTATTATGCATTCAGGTCAGACTGCTGCCCGTCTCCACATCGGCCGCAGTGAATCCAACCTCGTCACGAATGTGCCCATAGCCCGGGGAATCAACAAACTCAACCATAATGCAACTAATTCATCATCACCACTCCCAATCAGCAGGCTTAGGCTAGTCTGGAAAAGCACCAGACGCCGGCGTTTCGACCTTATGGGTCTTGTCAGTGGTGCGCCTCCCAGCGGATCCCTGCCGGGTTCCGCCCTCATGACTTCAGGATGCCAGCAGCACCATAATTAACAAAGCTCCGTTAGATCGCCAACTGAAGGTGATGGATTAGGCATTTGTTGGGTAACTGGCATACGCACAAATCGCACAAACAGCGACAAAAAGCAGGTGTATTCTGAGCAGCATAAGCAAGGGACGCACCATATCGAATGACCGAGACGAAGACTCTAACATAAGTAAGAATGTCGATGTGGTCTACGTCCGATGATATTGAGTAGACTACATTCGCAGGATAGCCTTTGATTGAAACCGATCGTATGGTCGACGTTAGGTGGGTTGTGTTACAGAGAAAAGCAAACCGCCCGGAATAATAGAGAACGAACTGTTACCCCGTACCCGGTCTTGAATTCGCCGATCGAAAATGACTGCATTATTGAAAATATTTTCAGATGACGAAAGGTGTAATGAAATGCCGAATACAGTAGCGACTGGATGCATACTCAAGATGTACGAGCGACTGGAATCCATTCCATCGTTGGCTGAATGAACCAGAGACGAAAGCCGCGGAACGCATGGGATGAAAACCATCACTGTTTCTTTCATCGAGTAGAAGCTGCAAGTATGGTCAAACGTTGGATGATGATGTGGAGGCTTTCGAACGAATTCCCCTCCACACAGACCGTACGCATTCCTCAGGTGTACATCACATGTACCAAATAACTAACAGCTACTGTGCGTGTGTCGTGAAATACAGGAGTAGACTATTGGCCTCTAGAGCGAACAAGTGCAATCGGTATTCGGATGAGTGCATCGAGATGACTGGGAATCCAGTGAGTTGGCTGAAACGAGAAACGACGTCTTGGGTACAACGGTGGATATCCGGCTAAGAAGTTCTCCCTGATGTGGGTGCATCTAGGGGGATGTGAAATCCGACAATCGTAGAAGCATTGTGCTTAAAATACATGCAAGATTTATATAGGGGTACATACAAAATAAAATGCAGAAATAACAAATGCAAAAACAAGGGGTGGCTGTGGGAAACGAGGACAAGGATAGTGTGGAACAGATTATGAAACATCTGAACAAGTTAGAAAACTAGTACGGGAAATTTAACAAAATAACTCAGATTTAGTGTGAAGGAAACGCGACAGCAACAGAGGTTGGTCGAGGAACGGTGGAAGCTGAATAAACCGAAGAGGGAGGTTTTAGGTTGACCAGATGCTTTCACCTTAGGGTCAACGAAAACGGAAATCAGCTTCAGTAGGTTAGTTTCTCCTAACGCGAGATGAGCTAAAACATTGGTGTGGTATTAACCATTAGTGTTCCTCCCAAATCCCAACAATCAATTGCATCGTTAAGTGGGCCTAAACATAGCCAGTTAAGTCGGTTTCCTATAGTCGTGAGTGCCATGGAATTCAAAAAAGTGTGCAAAAAGACCCCAAAAAATGACAACAAACTGAGTGTACAACCTAGCGAATTCCCCGGGGTAGCGTCTCTCACCAACACACAGTGAAATCCCCATATCCTGACAACTCTCTAAGTTGACCGTTTGTTCGTCCTTGTTTGAATATTCACCATGTAAACCTTACGCAACCAGACCTCTGTACGTTGACCATTTTGGTCCAGTCCCTCGATTGGTCAGTTTACGGAGAATTTACTGTAAAATATTCTGGGCAGTAGCAGCAACAGTGCAACAGCAGCTTGACTAGATGAGAGAACAGAAACGGAAAGACTGTTTTGGTAGTTACACATACGAGAATTTTCAATCATAGGTTTATCGTAAGGACTTATGCGAGGCGTTCTTATGGGGGTCCGTGCACAGTGCAAAGATTAGATACCCATATTAAGTACCGAGTGCTGTCAAGAGAAAGAGAAACGACAAGCTGACGAAGGAGATTGTTCATAGGGTCTCATGGGAGAGCGCAAACTGGTACAGGACTAACACTTAAAAGTATGAAAAATGCAAAGAATCAAGTGTAAAGGCATCCCAAGCAAAGTGAAAATCGATGTGTGAGAATAGACTGTAAGTGTACAGTGGAAAAGGGCCGGTTTCGCATTGGAAACACAAGGGAATACATGTCCGTTCCATCCCATCAATCAGTTGCTGGCGTAGATGGAGGCGAACACAGACATGATATTCGGGAATATAAGGACACATGGCTGTCCCATGAGCTAGCTGGAACGAGCTGGGGAGGGGGAGGGAAGGGAGGCAGTTACGCCCGATTGTCAGGGCAATGGGACGCAGGAGTGGCAGACCATGATAACGGATGACCAAGATGGTGGAGGTGCTCAGCGCAAACGGACAAACTACTCGATTCGGAGAGAAGCACAAATGGGTCATTTGCATGGGCACTGGCAAATGGCACGAATCAACCGTGCGGGCAGAGCAGTGAGAGCTGTATAAGGGTGGTGGTGGTGGTGAGATAGAAGGAGGATAAAACACACGTGCAAACTGAAACACCGGAAAATGACGCATGTGTGTGTACGGGAGAGGAGGGACACCAGAGTGCCGACTGCTAGTATGACGGCCTTTAGACAAGGTGACCTGATTCGAAGAAAAAGGGACATCTGCTGAAAAGCAGATGTTAAAGAAAAACCATTACTTGCAGAATTAGTTAACATGCCCTTCACAGTAACACTGCTTCCAAATCACAAACTTTATGTGAGGAAATAAAATGACAAAATCAACTGGCTTGACGAGGTAGAAGCATGAGACTGAAAATTCACACGAGCGCCGTTGGGTTTCGGGTAACTCACACCCACTAACGAGTAGCAGTGTCGAGCTGGTGAAAGCAGAGTCAAGCGTTAGTGCAACCGGCAAAAATGAGACCCATTCACTCCAGTGAACTGTCTAACTGTCGGATGATAACCGACAACGGGATTTGGAAAAATATGGGCATCACAGGTGGTGTGTAAGTACCAGGAGTTCTGTGCTACAACAAGCCGTGGCTATGTTGTACCGGTGTTTCACTTCGGCACAACCGTAGCCGCCCCGAAATGTGGAAAGGAAGGATGTGCGAAGAGTGAATCTGATGTAAAGCCTGGACACCCTAAACATCGGGAAGTGCCTATACCTCCCACCGACGAACGAACGTAGAATACTGACCATTGTGCGAATACAACGCGGCGTTGGCCAAACTGCTCTTCCGTAACCTTATTATCGAGCCTTACCATCAATCTTATCACGCAGATAACAGCAGTACATACACTTTGAATGGGAAGATGGACTGGAAGATGAAAGAACGCGCCACTAGTGCCGGTTGCGAGCGATCTCCCATAAGATTGAGTTAAGCGCAAAGGGGATCAAGTGAATCCCATGTTGGAATGCCAGACGGATCGACAACAAGCAACCTAGTGGTCATCTACACTCACCGAACAATGGAGCGAGCTGGACCCAGTAGCCATGATTCGCGGCTACACAATTTTACTAATTAACAATGGGAGAGAGAATGGGGTGGAACGTACGTTAGAACAGAATGAAAAGGGGATAGGAAAAGTGTAGGTGTAAGTAATGAGGTTGGAAAGAAGAGAATGCAAGATGCCATAAATATAGAGATCGAACAATGTCGGATAAGGCCTCCAGCCATTGATATGATCAATCCTGAAATCCCTCCCCATCTAGCGTGACAGCACTAAACAGCCCGATGGAGTCTCTCATTGAGGTTCTTCATGCCATGTTGCCCCGTCGGTTGGCTACTTAATGGTTGTACCTAAGCTGCTTCAAATTTAGTACACACACCCAAGGATA